ATAAATGTTGCATATTGCAGTTCTGCTTGTCAGGTAAGTCTCTTTCCCAACAAACACAAAATCTAATGCATATTAATAAAGAAAGTTAGGAGTTTTATTTACTAATTAATAGCAACAGCTTCTAGACCTAGGTTTCCTCTTTTTCTTCGAGTAACTTTTGCGAAGTTTTGTGACTAAGTCAGCAAGTGCCATGTCATGCATGAAATTTGAATGCATTGCCTAGTCTCAGAAGTCAGCAATAATACTTAAAATCATTTGTTTAGAATTCATTACTAACGATTAGGCTGTCAATTGCTTGGATTTGAATCAGAGTGTTAACCAATCTAAATTTGAATTTTCATTTGAAAATATCATGGTCTCTATCCAAATTTGTTACAATAAAAAATTCAATTTGATCCAAGCAATTCAATTAGTGAAAATTTAGCAAATCATATCTAAATATTAGCAAATAGTCACTCATTTTTCATATTTTTATATATAAGAAATACGTGATTTTGATCGATCATAATTTAGTAAGTTATTAATATATCTACATCTAAATTTATATATTTGGCATACTGGATTTAGGTTTAATTCAAAATTTGATCCAATGACAAGTTTTCTATGGATCAGGTGGGAAGCAATCAAAGCAAAGCGAATAAAGTTTTATAACAGAAAACCTAGTAGATATGAGATGGTGAAAGTTTTTAAAAATATAAAAATTCGGAGTGGGAAGACGGATGATTCTTGGGCTCCTACAATAATTACTATAGGATATATGATAATTAGTAAACAATTCTCTTGTGAAAGTTTTTTTTGGTTATCGCTTTGTTGTCTGTTAATGAAGACACAAATAATTTAATTGAAATGACACTATTTGTTATTCCCTTTCCACAAGTTGAAAATGGAGACATTATAAGTAGTATCTTACAATGTGTAAGACAATCTTACTAGTATTTTTAAATGTATTCCTATTTATATGTTAAAGAGCTTAGTCCTCAGTAGTCAATGATGTTGGTTGTTGAAGGAAGCTACATGTCCCTTCTGCAAATTGTTTAAGCTTTTGGAATTTAGGGTTCTAGCTATTATGAGAAGGAATCATATTGTAACAAGTGGTTTGAAGGCTCTTGTCATTGCTATTATTATAAATTTGGTAGATAGGTAGAACCCCACAATTCTATAATGTTGTCGGTCAAGGCTGTAAGGGGAGACGAGAGAGTTGAATATCAGTAAATGACAAAATCCAAATTGTTGCGAATGTGTATCAAACAAGAAAGAAAAACAGATACAAAAAATAAAATAAAAATACAAGGACTTATGTGCTTCATAGAATTCAATTTAAATCCACGAGAGGAGCTATTTTCTATTATATGAATATCTCAATAGGGTTAACCGGTTACAATGTATCTATTGGCACGAATTGAAAACCCTAGCTAGTCTAGGTAAATTACAAATTATTTGATTCAGTACAACTTATATATTGCACCAATAGGCTCCGCTTCACGCATACGCCATTGGATTTTTGGGCTTAGTGAAATATAAGTCATGCATTCACTATTTTTAACGCAGACCCATAACCAGAAATAATGCAAAGACAATTCATAAGTGGTGATACTACATATCCTGATACAAGCTTAATCAATAATTTTGTGGGCACATACAAATATGTTCATTCTTCTAATTTGATCCATCAAATTGGCTAGGATTGTAAACGAAAAATAAAAGCTAGTCTAGTTTAAAGTGGTCGACCAATTGTTTTCTTTTTTAGGAGGTAAATAATTTATCCAAGTGATCAAAATGATATACAGCTTGATGTATATGCCAGAATATGTATCACCCATACATTTATGCAAAATATTTATTATCTAACCTATGCTCTAGTATATACACTAGGACAAAAATTACCAATTGGATTGTACAATTTCACTGTAAAGCTCTATAGAGATGTCAACCATTATTAGGATGCAGAAAGAAGCATCAAAAAACAATTCATTAAAACGTATTACAAATTTTTTTTTTTTGGGGGGAGGGGGGGGGGGGGGGGGTTGTTCTACGTTTAGAGACCGTTTCAATGGAAAGTGGCACTAAAAGTCCTACAAATGGCGAACCCACCCTAACTACAACATCCAAATTGGGAACTCTTTCCTTGGTCTTATAAAATTTCCTATGGCTGTGGTACCTTGGGTCAATTGAAATTTGAAGGACACAAAGGTATTATATCCAAGATTAGAGAGTAAGCATTTTTATACAAGATTTAAATCCAGCCCTCCAATAATAGTTCATTATGATAATTGTGTGTGTGTGTGTGAGAGTGAGAGAGAGAGATAGAGAGATTAATGCATTATTGACTTTTAAATTGACGAGATCTTGAAGGGAAGACGAAAAAGATTCTAGCACATACACTACACAAACAAAAAAGGGAATTTTTTTTATAAAGTGACCAAATCAAGCTTGAGTTTATTATAATTTTTTTGTTTTTTAAAGAAATGTTTGCATTCAACAAATGGATAAGACATAATGATGATGATGATTCATTTGAACTAAGAAATCTATAAACTTTGAGTTTTCAGAGATTCAACAAATGACAACCCCTTAAATTTTTGTTTGATTTTTCTTCAAATAAAGCTCAACATGTAAATTTAATCTTCATAATTGGATTTGTCTGATATAGTTAGCATTCATGGACGGACCTCTTTTCTATAATAATCTATACTTTAGTTTATGCCTATGTATCTTAACTCGATCATAAAATTGCCGCCAATGGATATACTATCAGATTTTTCTAAAACTCTTTGATCAATATATAATTTGATGATGCACAAATTAATTTTATACACCGCCTGTCAAGTAATTAATGTAATAAACAAATAAGAAGAGAGTTAACGCAAACAAAATACAATTTAAGTGGTTCTGTCAAGTTGACCTACTCCATTGTAAACGGGTAGGATCATCTAAGTGTTTTATTGCTTCAAGGAGTATTGGGTGCTCAAGTGTGAGTAATAGGCGATATACAAGATATGAGAGATTCTCCTCGTGTATAGGCGGGGCTTACAATTTATAAACGTCTCTTAACAGATTGAAAATTCTTATCAATAACAGAAAGACTGATTTGATGGAGTGGGTGCCATCCTTGCAACATAAGAGGCAGTTGCAGAGAGGGCGTCGAGATCTCCTCAAGACCTAGTCTCAGGATGGCGTGACAGATCTCCTCACTCCAGGATGACATGAATGAGGCTCTTTGATGACGTTGCTTATTCCTTGACTTTAGGATGACGTGATTCTCGGAGCTTTGGTGAGCCTAACTAAATTTGAGTCTCTTCCGGGATGAATCCACTAGGGCTTGTCTAGGCTAGACCCACTATCTGAGTTGGGGCTGATTTGGCGGGTCCATCATAATCCTTAGTTTTATCCTGCTTGAGCTTCAATGTTCGAAGATTGTGAACAATTGGGTGATGCTCCATGCATCACTAGCCCGGGGTTCAGGCAAATAAAAAAAAAAAGAAAAAAACAAAGATTGTGAACTAGCATTTTAATTGAAAAAACATAGGAAATTACGTGATTTGGTATATACCTCGACTATAATAACCTAAATATTTGACATTGGCACCCGACAATAGATATCTTTGATCAACCCTTGGATGTGGCTCTACTTCACTTTGCCCTGTTGCACTACCTTCTGATCCATACCAATTTCACCGCAAACAATGGTTATGTTCGGTTTGGTATGATGAAAAAATAGAAAGATGAAAAATTAGAGGAATAAATAAAATATCATATTTGGTAAGGAAGAAAAATATGTAAGATGAAAAAATGGCTGGATTAACTTTCCTTCCAATTCAACAAAATCAATCCCTTCAAAATCAGAAAGAAAGTAGATGAAAAGTTAATTATTTGTGTTAAGATATATCTCATTTGTTTATATAATTTTTAATATATACATATTATATGTATACATTAATTTCATATAAAAATACAATGATAAAATATGTATTTATATATATTTTTTTAAATTTTAAAAATAAATTTAAAAATTTTAAATTAAAAAAATATTTTTTTGATCTTAATTAGGGGTGAAAATTTTCAACTCAACAGGATGACACAATTCGAACTCGACACGAATTTTATGACACAAACTTGATAATAACTCGACACGAAGTTGAAAATGACATGACATGCGAATAAAAAATATAAAATACTTATAATTTTATGACTCAACACGAATCTGACACAACATCATTCGATTGTTATCCTTAATCTTAGCCAACACAAAAAAAAAATTAGTTATTTTTATTTTTCATCTATCCAATCAAATATGAAGGAAGAAAACTGTATCATTTCTACTTTTCATCCTTGAAAGATAGAAAGTGTATCGTTTCTACTTTCTATCATTCCTATCAAACGAAACATTAGGCTCCGAGACCTATTAGTATGGGAAATCTATGGGTTAAGCTCCCCTCTGATTTCTAAACAATTTTGTAAGATCATCCAATTCACTTTAAATAATGAGAATTTGTCAATGTCTAATTATTTTGAATTTTAAAAAGTAAAGTACTTTTTAAATGGTGACATAAAAAAAATTGGAGAATACACCAATTATAGTAATGGACATGTATCAAACCAGCTAACCATCATGGGACCCTTGGTTGTATGAGCTGACCATTATGGAACCCGTAGAAGAATTGCCAAAAAAAAAAAACAGTAAAACTAATAACAATGACTGTGCAATAAACCAGTAAATTCCAATGGTGCAACTACACAAAAAGATCCAAATGAAAGCAACATACTCCATCTTCCAAAACCACCAACAAGACTTTTTCAGCTGAGCCTTTTCTCTTTTGCATTAGATACTCTAGTTGCTTTCATGCATTCAATTTGAAGACCTCGTCCTCCTCCTATATGTATCTCTTTCACCTCCATTAGAATTCCATTAAAAACCTAACCCAACCCTTCTCCAAACTCGACTCTCTCTCTCTCTCTCTCTCTCTCTCTCTCTCTCTCTCTCTGTGCTTGAAGTGAATTACATGGACCAATACTCACAATACTTGATGTGGGTGAGGAGCAAACAAATTCCGAATTCAAACTGTCAAGCATCGTTGAATTCACTCAGCAACTCGTGGGAAGAACAGGCCTTCGCTGAAGACGCTGCGGGTCCTCTTGGGGGATTCATATGGCCTCCCAGATCCTATTCTTGTAGCTTCTGTAAACGAGAATTCAGGTCTGCTCAAGCCCTAGGTGGTCACATGAATGTCCACAGGAGGGATAGAGCTAGGCTCAAGCAATCTCTTAGCCCACAAAGTGAAGTTCTTGACACTCAAAACCATAACCAGAGTCTCTCCAAATCATTGGGGACTCAATACCTACATCAGATTTTCACCCCAGATTCAAATTCTAACCCTAGTTTTGCAACATCGCCTGTCTCATCTTCTAGGATTTCAGCCTTGTCCACTTTGGAGAATTTCAATGAAAATAATACCTCTATGTTCCCTTTTTCTTCCTCTATTCTTCATGAAACCCCAAAGGAATTTCCTTATTCTTTGCCTCCTTCTTGGTCAGATTCTGAGACAGTTACGCTTGTTAGTGTTTCAGATTCAAAAGCTGCATGTGAGAAGACCAGAAGGAAAGAAGAATCTGTATTACTGGGTCATGATGACTCTGTTGAAACAAATTTGACTGTGGGCTTGAATTTGGCAGTTTCCCAAAATCTATCTGATGGTGATGAGACGATCAAAAACAAGAGACTAAAGAGAAGTGCTGTGTCATCATTGCCTTTGTTCCTCAGATCATGTTCAAGTAATTTATTTCCTTTCGAGTCAGAGGCATTAGGACTCAAGACCAGTTCTATGGAGGACATAGACCTTGAGCTCAGGCTAGGTGATCCACCAGCAAAGTACACCTACAAATGCTTTTAGAAAAGAAAGAATGAAAGTTTTCATTTGCTTCCTTTTCTTTGATCCTTAGATCCAACATAGACAAGTAAAAATCCCTCTTGTGTACTTCATAAAATTTAGAATGAAATCTCCTCTTTCCTCTTTGTGCCCACTGGGAAGAATACTTGTGGTTTTTTTTACAAATTTCATGTTTGAACTGTTAAGGTCGTAAAGATTAAGATGGAAGATTGGACTATCTTCTGATATGACCAAATTACATTTGGTTCAAATAATCGGAATCAAACAAACAAAACTTTTTTCCAGTTTAATTGGATCGACTATTATGAGTTTTTCACGCCATTCCGAAGAGTATATTGATGTCCGATCATATTATAAGCAATCATAGTAGTCAATTTGTTCATTGTTGCTTTCACAATCAGACATGACAGTTTTTTCTTTCACCCTGAGAAACAGGAATTATGTAAATTCAGTGTTATAGTTGTAAGGTGCCGTCCACCACATTCCGAGGGAAAGAAGTTAATGTCCTAACAAAAGTAGTTGAATAATACGGTTTTCAAAAATTTAGGAAACACCATGGTTCCCCTAGGCCGCAACATATATAGTTCTATCTACAAATGTTAGGTTTCAACTACGAAAAGATGGATATCAAGCCATTCACTGTACACAAAAATTTGATTTTTTCAAATCCTAGTTTTGAAAATCTAAACTATAGAGCGTATGAGAAATGTTCCATGGTAATAACATATCAAAATAGAAATTCGTCCTTTACAACTGAATCAAACAGTGAGATGCAAGAGAGGAGACTAGTTATTTTGTTGAGCTTTGAATATCTCTCAATTTTTTTTTCAAATAATGCTCTCAAGAACCAACATAACCAAAAATCAGATTAATGATTCTAATAAGAATTGATACCAGCACGCTAGGAGGAGGAGGAGAGACAGGTGAATACTGTGTCGGCATTAAGTGGCGGAAGAACTGACAGTTAACTGACACTAAATCAGTTCAGAGACATCCAATCGGACTAACAGTAAAGGACAGATCTCACAATAGGAGTTGCCCTTTTTACCTGTATCGTTACCATTGTTGCAGTTTTGACAGTTTATCGAGTAAACCAAGGTTTCCATATTCCTTAATTATTACGCTTAATTTCTCACTACCAATCTTCCAAAAAGCCACCAACTCCTAGACTTAATTCAACACGGATGACTGACCAAAAAAAATCCACACGGATAAGACGACTAATATGTCGCCGATTAATTCATTTATAGACTATAGACTAACATTAAAAAAAATTTACCACTAACATATAGACTAGTATTAAAAAAAAAAATGCCCAAAAATGATTTATACTAGTACTATATCGTCCATTGATTCATTTATAGTTGTTAACCCTTAAAATAATAAGAGAAGAACACTTTATATGCGTCACATTTGAAGCATAATACCGAAAAATAATTTTTTTGTTTGTTCCAAAATTAGACCTCTTAATGGCATATTTTTTGGGAGAACAGAATAAAGTATTAAAGCATATAACCCTTAAATAGTCCTGTAACGAGAGACATATCATATCAATGGCACTATTTGCGCAACTTTTGTTTTTGCATTTGTATGTATGCAATACAATACAAATGTACAACATTTATTCTATGACAAAAACAAAAACATGTATTAGGAATACCTATTTTACTCTCAAGTCTCAACGCCCAACCCTAAAGAACCTACACTGTTCTATAATTTCTAAACCCCTATAAACGGTAGCTATATATAGTACGTAGACACCAGTTGGTACCGAAGGTTCTTGCAGAATTCACGGCGTTTGCTCATGCAGTGCTGTTTCGTTTCCCGTCTTTTTGAGGAAAATTGATGTAACATAACATTTGACTTAATGGGTTTTGCATAGAAACTGAGGAAATGGCCATATATGGTGGGAATTAATGTTATCCAACAAATTTCTTCCTTTATAGGATGGTCATTGAAGAGGGCTTTGATTCTTTTGAGGTGATATTAGATGTGTGTGTGTGTGTGCGTGAGAGAGAGAGAGAGAGAGAGACTTTGGAGGGTGCAATGCAAAAGGTGTCAAGTACACAGGAAGCAACAATGTTCACTTAGGTCTCTTTACAGATCTTTGAGAAATATGGTTTGATGAGATGAGTTTTTTTGCTGGAACAGTTTAACAACTAGCTAGCGAGGTCTGAGAATGTGTCCTGAGGTTTTAAGGGTGCAGTGACAGAGTCAGAGATGCACATGAAGCATGAAATGTCTGTTTCTCTGTTGTTTTCAAAGAATTATAAAGGAATTCATTAGGGAATGAAGAAAGTTGTATTCAGCTTTCGTGGGGGTTTTTGGGTTGTAGCGAAACATCACACTTTGGCTTGGTTAGTGTGTGTGTGTGTGTGCGCGAGAGAGAGAGAGACCCGTGTGACCTTCAACATGGGGGTCAAATTGAAGAGCTCATGGTTGCGGAGGATATCATCCAGTCTGTTTAACGCGCATTTGATTCATAAGATTACTTAGACCTATGATTTCTTTTCTTTTTTAAAACAGGCTACTTGTTTGATGTATCAATATAATGACAATTTTTTTTAAAGCAATCAACAGCCATTTTTAATTAATAATAAATCACATTTAATTTTGAAAATTATTATTTATCTAACCACAGTAGTTATATGTTCCTTAAATTTCGTTCAAATACTTTCCACACTCTAAGAGTCATTCACTCTTTTTTCTCAGAGGATATATCTTTAAACTAGTTAGAGTTATAATAATTAATTCAGAACTTTGAGAAAATAGTCGATGCAAGTTGAAGACCATGTAACAAAAAAAAAAATCCAAACTTAACAAATAGTCAATGGAAACGAATATTTTTATTTCATTTTGAAGCTCATGCAAGTAACCCTTCGCTTTCATTGAATTTCATGTTGCGACTATTTTCATTTTCATCAGCAATGGTTTTTTTCGGTACATTAGATGAATTAGTCATGACTATGATGGTAAGCGTTGAAAGGACAATGTACTATAAACTAAATATTGACAAATGTTGAAGGTCGATCAAAGGAGTCGATCTTTCAAATTGGGGTCCTATGAAGTCATTTTTTCTTTGGCATCTTAATGTGATTTGTCCTCTCTGACTATGTTTCTTGTTGCAATCAGTTCATTATGGTTTCAAATGTTGTAATTTATTCCCTCCAAATTTCAAGTAGACTAAATTATAAAGATAGAGGTTAGAACATGAAAGTAATATTACACTCTCAATCTTGCACATTATTTTTCATATTTTTTCCTTGAAATATCAATTATATATTCCTAAGAAGTAAGAAAACAAAAAATCCAAGAAAAAAATACAATTGTTCAGCCTAACACCATGTTCACCTCCATCTCCACCTCCACCTCCACCTCCACCTCCACCCAATACCACAACATGCACGTGCACACACTCAAAAACATACACTTTTTTAGGGGTAGTTATGTCTTTTCAACAAAATAACTTACGTCATTTTTTAAAGTCAACAATTAACCGTTAGAGTTAATTTCAAAATATTCAAACTTAAATGGGCTATTTGTTGAATTAAAACTTAAGGATATGAATGGCAAACTATCCCAAATTAATGGGAATATTTTGTAATTAATCATTTTTCGCTCCTAACCAAGTCTTTGACAAGATGAATTTGGATCCTCTACTTTTAGATTTTTCTTTTTTATTTTTTCAATTTCAAACAACCATCAAAGAAATCATTGAACCACCCCACTGGGGAATTTCGTTATTAATTAATATTTAAAAAATTGGTGGAAACTTGAAATTCAAAGGATTCAGATCGGACGACACCTATAAGGGTGAAAGACCACATTAAGACATAGTTGTAGACATACTAAGCTTAAAAAAATTATTAATGTGACCCTAAAATAATTTTTTTGCTCCGCCCTGCATGCAAGTAACCCTTTGCTTTCATTGAATTTCATGCCACGACTACTTTCAGTTTCATAAGCAATGGTTTTCTTCAGTCCATTAGATCAATTAGTCATGAATATGATGGTAAGCGTTGAAAGGGCAATGTACTAAAAACTAGATATTGACAAATAATATTTTTTTTTTCTTAACTAAGTCTTTGACAAGATGAATTTGGATCCTCCATTTTAGGATTTTTGTTTTTCATTTTTCAATTTCGACCAATCATCAAAGAAATCATTGAACTGTGAACCACCCAATTGGTGAATCCCATTATTAATTAAGATTGAGAAAAAAAAATGTGGAAACTTGAATTTTAGAGGATTCAGATCCGACGACACCTACAAGAGTGAGACCGCATTAAGCTAGTGTCGTGGACGTTCTAAGTTTTATTTTTTAAAAAAGGTTCCTTAATATTTTGATAAGATTTTATCATATTAGCTACTTAAAGCATGGGTCTTTTTAATGTGATCACTGTAAAAATAATTATATATTTTAAGTATAGATTTATAATTGAAATTAAAAAAAATTGCTATTGAATTTTGACCAAAACAACAAACATTAGAATTATGATATGAGCAAAATAAATATGAGTGTTGTAATCTAAAAATAGATATAAAACATACAAACAGTAGTTAGATAATTATAACAAAAAACAACATGTAATCTATATAAACAAAGTAAATAGAATTGGAATGAGCTGGTCTGCGAGTTCAAGAGGCGTGTGTGATCACTGTCCTAAAGCAGCTGAGTCTCCCCACGTGAGGGTATTGACGGACACCAGCGACTCTAAAATTCAACTCAGACGCTCGCAGCAGCACCTTCTCAATGGTCACGTCCACTTGAAGGTTGAAGTGAACTTGACTCGAATCGAGTTGCCCCAAAAATAAAGTAATAGATGAAAATTGAAAAAGATAGGCCAAAATATAAAAGAATTGATATGAGCAATTGGAAAGTCTACTGAAATGAGCAATAGGTAAGACTCTAGTGTTGATTTCATATTCTTGAAAAAAATTTCTCAAAAACTTTATATGGCCACAGTGTATCTAACGTACACAGAATGACTATTCAATTTTTC